CCATGTCACCCTCAGATGTCACACACAACTCGTCGTTTCCCCTTTGCATTACACTCGACGGATGAACCTGGTGCGTGATCTCCCTGAATGGTCTTCTCAGTGTATGCTCAATCCAAACAATCTCCACTTTCCTCTCATGCATATTTGTTGGGTGATGGGTTCTTGCTTCATTAGTTCGCTGCCATCCATCCATCCATCCATCCATCCATCCATCCATCCATCCATCCATCCATCCATCCATCCATCCATCCAGAGTTGCTTGTTGCTCATTCTTATTATTCTGGCCATCTGATCTGATCTTCAGTGTCAGTAACGAGTCAGCGTAGGCAGTTGTTGGTGAATACTTGCAGTTTGTTGGAAATGCATTTCGTAACGCGCCAAGTTTCTCAACCACAACACAGAAGCACTGACTTACTTGACATTAGTGTTGAAAATACGGATGTTGTCGATGCTTCATGCTGAGTGCAGTGCAGAAGATGTGCACACTGATTTCAGTTTGATGAACTCAAGCCTGTCTTGCCATCTTTTCGATCCTGGCTGGCCTTGACGTCCTCATCTGTGCCCGTGCCGCCTGTAGTTGGAACAGTGCTGTCTAGGTGGTGGGTGGAAGAGGCTACTTCATTCAGGTTTCTCCCGTTCATGGTGATTGGAGCTCGTCGTTACTGTTAGTTGTGGTGTTGGTTGGGTATCTTCATCACCTCTGTCTTCTCTACGTTCACTTGCAGTGAGTCCCGTCTTCGCTGCCCTACCTCACCTCTTCTGTCAACTTGTTGGTTTCTACCTGTAGATCTTCAAGTTTGTGTGACATTAGACACAAATCATCGACGGCAAAATCCAAATCTTCTAGGTTCTTTTCCCTGGTTCAGCGTATCCACCTCTTCTTGCTCCTCACAGTCTGCTTCATGATCCAGTCGACCACAAACAGGAATATTACCAGCGATAGTAGATGGTGGCCCTGTTCGACTCCTTCCTATCTTCAATTCAAAAGCATCACTGAGCTGAGCTTTCCATTGTGGATCACTTGGCATGTAGCATCATACAGCATCTAGTTGTTGAATGAGGTTGATAAGAGTTTGTTGCACTCCTCAGTGTTGAAGCAACTGCCTGTCAAATTACTTGTCGGTCGACACTGTCAAAGGCCTTCTCAAAGTGGATGAAGTTGAGGTAGAGTTGAGTTGACTGCCATTCTATGCTCTGTTCTATGATGATGCACAGCGTAGCGTTGCAATTTGGTCCACACATGATTTGTACTTGCTGAAGGCAGCCAACCTGTTTCGGTGGTAATTTCGATTTCAGCGCATCTCTTAGTCTGTCCAGAATGATGCGGCTTAATATTTTGCTTGGTGTGGACAGGGGTGGAGCATGGTTTGGCACCAGTTCTTGCAATTCCACATTAGATTTGTTTATTTGAGATACGACAAACTGATACATTATCGGAGTGTGGCTAAATTTAACTTGCTAACGTCAATAACGTAGAAAAATACGTCTGTTGCAATGTATGAATTAACTAACATACAACTATAATATAGGATAATGTGATTTGAAGAATGTAGAGGTCAGGCACAACTATACACTAAATATGATTTCATCAACCGATATCTTAATTCTCTGAATAAGTTTTGACTGAATATTAAGTTGATTTCTGACTCCTTCCATTGCCATATTGATTGGTATATTCATATAAAGACATTTCACATAGAAACTAACCATTTATTGGTCCTTTTCCCCATGGAGGTCATTAGGTCTTAGTTTTAGTTGGTAGTGAAGGAGAAGGGTGAATGTTGGTGAATCGTAGGAGGACAGTTCATGATAAAATATTATAACCTTTCACTGAAATGTCAGGTTGAACAATGTATTTAAGTTGATCTCCTTTTTCTAGCTCGTCTTCCTATTGATACGATCACATCATGTTTTTCACTTCTCTTGTAGAATATTTATCCATCCCTCGTAATTCCCTACGACTTCATCCAACCTGTCAACATATACTACTTATATCCATTCTTATAAATAGCACCCACTGTAGCAGTAGCTGACTAGTCTAAAATTTTTACAGTTTCTAATAATACACGATACCTATGCTAAGTGCACAGTTCATATGTTGAGGGTTTTTGTGAAATCAGCTTACTGTCTAGTAGGATAATCTGGTTTACAAACCTTTAAATTACCATAAATTTTGCTAGGACTATTAGTTTTCAGCATTAAATTAAATTATTCACGACAGTTTTGATAAGTTTCTTAATTTCTTCATATGGTACTTTTCGGATATACTCATGAGTTTTATTGAAATAATCCTATCCTATCTATCCATAACTGCTACTAGGGGGACATCGAAATTTAGCTGAATATAGAAAATCACACAACCATTGTACTTAAGTCCAACATAATAAGTTGGAGAGACAGAGATGGATTGTTGAATCTTTGTTCATCGAATCAACAACCAACACATGTAATAGAAATGATGCAACACGTATGCTGAAGGTGTGAAAAAGTTTACTGGAAGTGCAAATAAGGAATGTGAAGTGATAAGACTTTAAAAGTCAGATGTCAAACGTGTTGTGTGATTGCATTGATATGATGAAGAGCAGTAGTTTATGCTCGAAACCCCACCCAGTAAGTGCTACTATATCATTGGATGCTATAAATCAAACAAATAAATAGAATATGGAGACTACACACATCATCCACCAATTCTACATAGATGCTGAAATCAGAGTTAAATGATTTTCAGTTTTGTTTCTCTTCTTTGCTAATTAGATTTTCTTCTTCATCTCTTTCATTGGTTTCATGTGTGTTGATCTCTTCCCTGTCAGACAGTGACCTGGTTATTTGATACAATGTTGTCAGGTCTCTGTCTCTCCTACCTGCAGCCAGCCTGTTCTGCTTCACATGCCAGTGTGTCATGGAAATGTTTCTTGTCTTTGTGCGCACTCTTCTTCACTTCTTTTTTCAGTGTCTTTTACGTTGCACTCAGTTCGTCGTTTCGTTGTGCATGCTTGCACTGGTTTATCTCCTGCTTCACCATCCGCCTCTCCCTGCTCTATCAGCTGCTATATGTCCATCGAGATCCATTCCTTCTCATTTTTTGTCTTCCTTCCTAATACGGTTACGCAGATCTCTTTCCAAATCTCTTTCAAAGACTTCCAGTGTTCATCCACACAGGTTTCATCAAGAATGCCTGACCTCAATATCGTATCTCCACATTATCTTGTGTGTAGTGAGATGTACATTGTATAAGTTGATTTTCAAATCATACAACATGAGAAGTTTGTTGACTGAAAGACTAACATTGAGAAATGGTTATGATATGTAATCTATGAAGAAGTGATGTGTGCTTGAAGTGGTCACCAGGGAGTAACTGATGTAGTTATGTAGGCTTTAGTGACCAGCTGTGGCTGAATTGTTTGGATAACGCAACAAAATTATTATTGTTTTTTCCCTTGGGTTCCTAGTCGAACATAGGGATTCACTAACACGTCCCATTTCACTCTCTTCTCTCCAATCTTCTCAACCTCACTCCACGACTGACCGCAACCTCTCATTTCCTCCTCATATGATCTCCCCATGTCACCCTCACATGTGAAGTCCAACTTGTCGTTTCCCATCTGGCTTCCACTCGAGTGCCTGGTCTGGTGTGTGATGTCTCCGAATGGTTTTCTCAGTGTATGCCCAATCCATGTCCACTTTCATTTTCTGCATGTTTGTTGGTTGGTTCTTTCCCAGAGACGCAATGTAATGGATAAGCTGAATGGCTCAACACTACACAGCGCTGCAATTCTGAGTTCTGGAGTGTTTAATGCAGACTGAAATAGCTGAAAAAACACCAGTTTCTTCAGAGTTGTATATGTATGTAGATGTATATGTATCTTGGTGATGAGTATTTATTAGCCTGAAAACTAGATTCTAGAGGTTTTGTTGAATGAATGTCAACGTCGATCATTGAAGTGTAACGTGGATGGGAATCACTTAGGCTTATGAAGGAACAAAATTTGGTTGATGAAGTTATAAGTAGCGTACCGAGATGTTGAGTTAACTATGAATTTGATCATAGTATAGAACAGCATGATTCTCATTTTTTCAAAGAATAATCCTTGATAAATGTATCTTTTGTTCAGTTTGGAGGTTTTTTCCCGTATAAAAGTATAAAATGAATGATAGTCAAATACTTGTTGGGATTTTACTTAGTGATGGATTTCGACAATTGTTGTGGTGGTCCATGATATGTGAAGTTAATTATTTTGAATATGAGTACACACTTACCGATAGTTTTTGATGGTTGTTGCGTTATCCCATGAACTGACAGACGTAGAAAACAACTGACCATCAGGTTCCTACCCGGTGATTGAGTGGTGAAATTCTCGTCACAAAACAGTCTGGGTTTTGATCTATCACAGGGATAAAGAGGACTTCTTTTTGAAATCGGTGCTGAGGTTGTTGCCAAGCCTGGTGATGACACCCGTGTGACAAACTACCAAAGCTTACAGAACATTGAACAACCACTATGTTCATCCTGAGCGAAAATTCTTTTATATCATTTCAAAACGCGTAATATATAAGTGTGGCTATCATGACTGTACAAAGGCGCTGATTAGTCTACTGAGGTTGTGTTACATTCCTTCAGAAATTAGTCACTGTGTGGTAACCAATTTAGCTGTCAGTTCTACACTGCTGACTAGAAGAAGTTTTTTGATCAGGACTACAGTGTAAGCTTTCAGTTCAGTGACCGTACACTAAGATGTCCTATATCTTAAGGTGAATGCATAGAAAACCTTTAAGGGTTTAGAGGAGAATATGATCTACATCACTCATCAGTGAAGTCGGAAACTTTACCACGAAGCTACTCATGACGCCACTGACCTCTTATGTCACTGAAATGTAACTTGGCGTTCACTGAGTAGTCTCAGCTCAATAAACAGTCCCATTAGTACACACACTAGTACTTCACTAATGTAACCAACTATGTCAAAGTGTTCTTGTTTACCTTTTTCTCATTCTCTTTTCAGCAAATAACATTACATATAGTGGATTTTGGAAACGTTGTAATTATATCAATCAAACTTGTGAAATTATGCTTCCATTTCTCACCAAGCATGATGGTAAGTCAGTGTTTGACATCACCTTCAAACTGAAACTATCAGAGACGAGCAAGTATATATGGAAAATTTTTAATTCTTTTTATTAAACTAGACAATATTTTATTAATATAAGAGTAAAACAAGAACACTGTGGTCTGCTATAATTTCACTTCAGTCTGTTAATTATAAATATCACACAGTGAAACAGTGGCATTTACTGGATAACGTTTCGGACACAATTTATTGTCCATACTCATATCAGGTAGGTAACTCCACAACTTCGAGACACACTTTATATATTCCTAGTTTTCTCTCCTTCTCTGTGATGACAAGGGTAGTAGAATTTTCCATATATCTAGGACAGGTACAGAATCATTTCCATTGCAGGAAGCCTTGGATCTAGGTTTAGTGCTTGTTGCCACTCACCAGCAAGGCATATCTACTACCTCCTGTAAGCTCCTGTAGGATTGTTATATCCATTGCCTAGTGGTTGGAGAGTAACCAATTTCATGTTGTCCAGTTCTCAGTGCTGACCAAATCCTACCGATCATTTTCGTTGTATGGCCACCAATCTAGGAGGCTCAGCATCAACCAGACCTTATGCCAACCGATTGATTCCGTCAGGTATGATAATTAACAGGAAGTTAGAAGCTTCAACAAATGATTTCTGGGCATTTAATTTCATCATAAGAAGCGATTTAGATCAATAACTTGCAGATAATTGCTTCTGAAGCATATTTCCGGTAATTAGCACACCAATGCAATCTAATTGATCACAAGCTTTCTACAATTATTCTAGATAGTATGCTTCAGCCTTACTAAACTCAATAGCTATGATGATTTATGCTAAGTAAAATCATACTTACAAAATTGTAAACAGGTTGGTTCAAAACTGAAGCCACTTGATTCATTTCTCACTGTAGATATGCCAATTAGTGATTCACCGAGTACCTCTTCTCCTATCCACTTGACAAGAAGAAAATAATCACACCCTTTTATATAGCGTCAAAATAAATGTTTCGATATTATCGTCATTGGACACCACCACCAACAGCATCAACAACAAGCACCAATCACCATGAACGGGGGAAAAATGAATGAAGTAGTCTCTTCCACCCACCACCTAGGCAACACTGTTCCAACTACAGGTGGCACGGGCACAGATGAGGACGTCAAGGCCAGCCAGGATCGAAAAGATGGTAAGACAGGCTTGAGTTCATCAAACTGAAATCAGTGTGCACATCTTCTGCACTGCACTCAGCATGAAGCATCGACAACATCCGTATTTTCAACACTAATGTCAAGTAAGTCAGTGCTTCTGTGTTGTGGTTGAGAAACTTGGCGCGTTACGAAATGCATTTCCAACAAACTGCAAGTATTCACCAACAACTGCCTACGCTGACTCGTTACTGACACTGAAGATCAGATCAGATGGCCAGAATAATAAGAATGAGCAACAAGCAACTCTGGATGGATGGATGGATGGATGGATGGATGGATGGATGGCAGCGAACTAATGAAGCAAGAACCCATCACCCAACAAATATGCATGAGAGGAAAGTGGAGATTGTTTGGATTGAGCATACACTGAGAAGACCATTCAGGGAGATCACGCACCAGGTTCATCCGTCGAGTGTAATGCAAAGGGGAAACGACGAGTTGTGTGTGACATCTGAGGGTGACATGGAGGAGATCATGTGAGGAGGAAATGAGAGGTTGTGGGCTGTTGTGTAGCGAGGTTGAAAATATTGGCGAGAAGAGAGTGGAATGGAGACGTGCTACTGAATTCCTATGTTGGACTAGGAATCCAAGGGACAAATAATAATAATAATAATGGTAGATTTCGCAGTCAAATAGTTCCCCTTTCCAAAGTGAAGATGGATGGAACTATACGTCGCCTTAATTCTGAGTATGAATTGATATGAGTTAATCGTAATATGAGTTCACTAACTAGTTTGGCAAAGGAAAGTTCTGAATCTAAGGCGTAGGAATTGTGTCTAGCTGATTGGTTAAACAGGAACGTGTTCACCATAAGGAACGATTGTCCTCAACTCGACGTCACTGAAAGTCATAGATGCACGCAGTTAAGGATTTTCATGCGTTACTCACAATTATTACATTCAACACTAGTTCACTCATCCACAATTCCCCTATCATTTCATTTTTATGGATTTTTAATTCAGCAATGAATCATCGTTTTGAAGGGATTGATAAAACAGTATTCATTTACAGCAACAAACATCTTGTCAGTAAATGAAACCATTTTTTGATGAGTGCGCATTCAGTTATCGACAATACTCAGTCTTTATAAGTAAGTCATAGTGGCTGATACTCTAGGATGGACTGGTGCTGAGTAACTGTGAAGAAATTCAAACAGTCTAGGAAGTCAGTGAATTTATGCATCCCATGAGATGAGCGTATCCACAAGTTCATATCACAAGTTTTAGAAATGTTCACCGAATGTTCCATTCTCATCAAAGCCAGTAGATAAATATCTAAATGTGTCACCAGGATCTCCCGGTTATTCCGATTTTCATGCTTGTTAGTGCTCATAAGTAAGATGGATTTGCATTTTCAATGCACTAATTTCCCTTGTGAGATTTCAATCCATTTCAATAAGTTCTGCGTTAAGAGACCTTACGGCCGCAACTACTCTCTAGTACTCATCACTAGATAGCATGAAAGAGATCACTTACTAATGATCAATCACTTTTCATTTTGACTCAGTTGTGAATAAAACTGGTCACATAGGCATGAACACGACAGCAGTAACATTGCGATCCCACCGCTGCTGTATTTATTATATTATGATTATTTATCTTTTGGGTTCCTAGTGGAACATAGGTCTTCAATAACACGTCACCATTTCACTTTCTTCTCTCCAGTCTTTTCAACCTGGCTCCATCACAGTCCACAAGCTTTCATTTCCTCTTCACATGATCTTCCCATGTCACCCTCAGATGTGACGTCTAACTCGTCGTTTCTCATTTGGATTCCACTCGAGGGTCTGGCGCGTGATATCTCTCAATGGTTTTCTCAGTATGTGTCCTATCCATCTCCAGTTTCTTCTGCATATTTGTTGGGCGATGGGTTCTTGGTTAGTTTGTTGTCATCCAGAGTTCCTTGTTGCTTATTCGTATTACTCTAGCCACCTGGTTTTACGTATCAGTATTGAGTGAGCGTAGGTGGCAGCTGCTGATGTTGTATGTCTGTGGTTTGTTCGAAACGCTTTTCATGACGCGCCAAGTCTCTCAACAATCACATAGAAGCACTGAATTGACTGACTTAGTATTGAAAATCCGGATGTTGTTCACGCTTTATGCTGAGTGCAGTGGAGTGCAATAGATCTCCACACTGATTTCAGACTAATTCAAGAAGGCCTGTCTTGCTGTCTCTCCGATCTTGACTTCGACGTCTTCATCTGTGCCGCCACCTGTAGTTGAAACGATGCTACCTAGGTAGATGTAGGTGAAAGAGACCACTTCCTTTAGGTTTCTCCCGTTGATGGTTATTTGTGCTTGTTGTTGTTGGTTGAGTATCTTCATCACCTCTGTCTCCTCTACGTTCATCTGAAGGAATTCCGGTCTTCACTGCCTCATTTCCGTCAACTTGTTAGTTTTTGCCTGTAGATCTTCGAGTTTGTGAAACAAGACATTAGACATAAATCATCAGTGGCGAAATCCAAATCTCCTAGTCTCTTTTCATTGGTCAGACAGCCTGTGCCCCTCTTTTCGTCCCTAACTGTTTTCTGTATGATCCAGTCCACTGCAATCAGGAAGATGATTGGTGATGAAAGTATGCAGCCTTGTCTTACTCCTATCTTCACTTCAAAGGCATCACTGAGCTTTCCATTGTGAATCACTTGGCATATGGCGTCTTCATCTAGCTGTTAAATGAGGTTGATAGAGGTTTGTGGCACTAAAACCGTAGTGTTGAAGCAGCTGTTCACTGAATTACTTCTCGATAGACGCTGTCGAGAGCCTTTTGAAAGTGGATGAAGTTGAAGTAGAGAGTTGACTGTCATTCTACGCTCTGTTCTATGATGATGCACAGCGTAGCGTTGCAATTTGGTCCGCATATGATTTGTTCTTCCTGAAGCCAGCCAGCCTATTCCGGTCGCAATTTTGAATCCAGTCCATTTTTTGTCTCCTCAGGAAGATGCTGTATTGGAATATCAACATATGTACAAAGTGCAACAGTTTATGTTTGTATGGATTTGACTGTTTTCAAGCAATTCTAGGAAAATTTTCCCAACTGATTTTACCTCTTCAACCTATCTGATATTTACACTCATGATCATTTACTTTTTCTCGGAACTTCAAAGCATAATGTTAATGATGGATAGTGGCTAGCAGTGGAATCCAAGATGAGCATTTTGTCCTATTTGGGACTCGTCAGGTGGATGGTTGGTTATGATGGGACTGCAGAGATTTAGGACTTAACAAGTTTTACAGTTAGAATTTTCGTGCCTAGTGATCTTCATCAGAAGTAAATTGATGCCTTACCGTACAATGAAGTTAAAACTTTACTTATAAACTTATCTGCTTATGTTTTTCATTATTATTTCAGGCTGGCAAGATGGTGCATTCTTTATACTTATATTGGCTATACTATTAAGTTTCTTAGGATTGAGTCTTTCAGTGGCTGGCCACTTAGTCTATGCTCTTCCGAAAAGATTATACTATTTTCATTCAGCTGGTGAAGCACACGTTGTTGCAGGTATGTTATATCTACACGAATGTGTATATTTTCTACCCATTTCCTACTTATGTCTGTCATATTCAACATCAAGGCTTCATTCATGAAAAATGGATCATAGAATAATCTAGAAACTTACGCATAAACTACTTGATCTTGTAAAAAAAGATAAATTACTTGAAGAAGAGGTTTTCAATGAAAATATGTACATAACTTATGGAAAATATACAATGATGTATGGATATCAGTCTAGTTATAGGTTTTTGATGATTTTTAGTTATTTCAGTTGTAGGATTCATCACGAACTGACAGCAACTGAAGTGCATTTAAAAACCTGGAGGCACACGACAGCCGCTTCATCCTTGTATAGGACTCCTCATCAGTACGTCCTCACGACCTTCACGTTTTACAGCGAGTACGTCAACCATTCAGCCACTGGGTTACGGTTTTCGATGGTTCTCCACTGATATTACTCCGTGATGAATCATCCATCCAAATTAACATAGAACCAGGCATTACTGTGTAACGGTCCGGGTTTCCACAGCTCATATCAGTACATCAAGTAAGAAGGCAGTGAAGTGGAAGACGAAGATAACGAAATTCAGTCAAAGGGAATATAAAGTATTAAAAGAGAGAAAGGAAGAATGAGAAAATCGTGACATTCAGTATAACGTTAAGATGGGGATAATATATGTATGTATCTGCGCCACTGGCATCGGTTCTGAGGCATATCACCTAGAGTCTCCAACCACTAGTTTCTCTTGTCCTGTGGACCCCATCCGGCTAGTCTGTATCGTCCCACATGGCTCACACCAACAGTCAAAGACTTCATACATCGATGCCATGTTTTAGTCTGGCCACCTCGAGCCTTTTCCAGCCTGAACCTACTTCGGCCAAAATTGCATAACAAGACAGATGGCAATTAGGTACACGTCACACGTATCTCACTCAGCCATCTCAGTCGATGAAGGTTCACAATCGTGTCAACTGACTTACCTCTTCTCCCTGAAACTCTACTCCTGACTTCTGCATTACTCACATGCTGATACCACGGAATATGGCCTATACTACGAAGACAGCGGTGGGCAAACACCTGAAGCCAGCCTTCTCATGTCTTCCACCTTCAATGGCCATGTTTCACAGCCGTACAGTAGAACAGACCGGACTGCTGTACCGGTACAGTACACGCGTCCCTTTATAGACAACCGGATATCATGGCGGTGTCATAGGTGGCGTAAGTTGGCGAAAGCCAACCGAGCCTTTTGTATCCGTGCAGAGATCTCATTGGCAACTAACCTACCATGGTTGATCCTACTTCCCAGGTAAGTGAATTAGTCAACACACTCAACCACTACACTCTCTATTGTTAGCCATCGCATCGCTGAAGACCAATCCTGAAGCAAACATTTGCATTTAGGTGGTGAGAACCGCATCCCAAACATTCTCAAACTGTCACTCAAGATGTTCAGAAGACTGTATCTTTTCAACATCTTCACCTTGCAGGACTATGTCATCTGCATATTCTAGGATTAGGTTTGTAATGAATAGTATCTTAAAAATACAGTTTTCACAGACCTCAAACTGCAATCCGTGAGGGAACTTAAATTCAAATACAGAGAGATTTAAGCAACAGTAATGACAGTTATACTAACATTAGTGTTGCTAGTTGATGACGTAAAGGTTGAATGAAACCAAAAGGATTCAAGTACGATTTTTAAATTGTTCATAGGGTGTACACAGAGATAATCAACAATCAGAGGATTTTCCAAGTTGTTATTCATCGTGGAACATTGGAAACCTGAGAGCACTAGATAGCCGTTTAACTCCACCAGTATGGAACTCCTTAGAGGTCCGCATCCATTATTCTTCACCCCAAACATGGAACGCAGGACCCTCAGGTTCCATGGCTAGTACGCTATCATTGAGCCACTAGGTTGGAATCCAATAGTCCGTATATCCAACTTCAGTCAATTCACGACATAGCGTGACCATCACCTAATATCATCGTTGAATATTTATCCTCATGGTCACCAAGTTTGCCAAGCCAGTCACGACTTGTCCTTCAAACTTCAGAAATCACCTTTCGATGCCAGTCACCAATCAGCACTAGTTCAATTGAATTTGGAGGTTGTGGGGATTAGGAATTTTTCAAGTTGGTATTTATCATAAACTGACGTCATTTGGAGGAACACTGAAAACCCGGGAACACTGGACAGCTGTTTCGTCCTAGATGCTGGGTTCGAACCGCAGTAGATCAGCGGGCAAGCACTACTGAGGAGTTCCATACTAGGACGAAACTGCTGTTCAGTGTTCCCAAGTTTCCATCGTTCCCCCAACTAACGTCAGTCCATGATGAACACCAACTTGCAAAATGAATAAATTCCCACAAACCGCAAAATTCAATCAGATGACTTGTTAAAACGAGTAAGACAAGTTAATTAGGATAAATTGAAAATATTTTGTTAAAAGTTGAAATTATTGGAGAGATTAATTGAAATAACACCGGAAACAATTCAAAGTGAGAAATAATGCTGATAATGATGATGTAAAAGTAAAAAGATGAATCCAGAAAAGGGAGAAGTCAAAAACAATGAAGTAAACCAAAACAGAGGAGAACAAAGACTTCACGTACTACTTTTGCAAACAAATGTCAGGCTTCAATCCATTAATACTCAAAGCCCCGGCTGTTCCTAAAAGTTGAAGACAAACAAAATATGAAATATTTGAACGAATTCGATAAATAACCTTAGAATCATTGTTCAGGCCAGTTGAATGACTGGGATCGATTAAATGTTGACGAATGGAACTTCTAATGCATTTCCTTTGACGTTTAGAAAACCAGCTAGTACTTGTTGATAATGGCCTCTGGCTTCAGTCAATGTATCTTGTTCCACAAGAACAGGGAGAACTGGCAGACACATGGATGTAGCCTATTGAGGCACATTGTTTTTTACACATGCAGAATAATTTAGAGTTTGAAAATGTTAAATCAAGTTTGGATGCAAAAGCCATCCGGTAACTGATCTTAAAAGACGATTTTTAAAATATGCAGACATGGAAATGAATGTGGTCATACACAACCAAACAACTGGATGAGGTATCTTGAAAGTCCTTAAAATTAACTTACTGGGACAGAGAGACAGCTTAATGACTGGATCTTTGTTGATCCAGTCAACACCAAACACCTATGCTCAAGATAAGAAATATATCTCAAGGTTTATATCTCACAGTCGACTCAAACTAGAATAACCAATATAATAATACTTTACTCCACAACAAATGACTCCAGATTGCAATCGTCACTGGTCGACATAGGTTAAAAAACCACTGAAATACTGGATAAAATGAACGGCTAATTGATCCTGCCACCACAGATGGCAGATTTTCAGTAACTCTCCAACTCAAACCAATCATTGATAAATAATGCGTAGAAATCAGTGTCACCACGATTCTACCAATCAGATTATTATATGGTGTTCATTAATGATCTCTATCAGTTCCAGTGGGAAGTTGTGACCTAAAGGGTTTATCAAGTCGTGACATTGAATGATTCACAACTGACCACTGAATTCAAACCTGATGGTAGAATGGTAATGTGCTCGTCAAAAGACCTGACAGTCTTCGGTTAGATTACTAAGCAGATCGTTAGTTCGTACTGTTGGGAAGTTTCATATTGGGTTGGAACAGGAATTAAGTGATCCAACCAGACAGTGCATATCTTCCCACACCAATCAGATCAACAATTGGAAACTTCATGTAGTGGTGCCACTTCTTGGTCTGGCCACTCTGAACCCTCCTCCAGTCTAATCCAGCTTCCGGTAGCACGGTACATAGGGGTAGACGATGACCTGGTATTCGCGATACATATCCAAACCATCTCAGCTGATGAAGGCTCATAACCACATTGATCGACTTGCCTTTCTTGCCTAGTAGCCTTCGTGTGAGCTCAACATTCCTCACCTTGATCCACATTGAGATTTCTCATGACCGAAACGTTTTTCATCAAACGCCTAACTGCGACATCACCAGGATTTCCACTGGAAACTAACTCCAGTCAAGATCATAGAGTGTGATCTCTGACACAAAAGTGTCGTGAACTCTACGGAATGTTATACTGGGCAATATAAATAGTTAGACGTCATTCATGTTGATCCGTAAATTTCTGTAGAGTTGTTTAAACACTGAGTGGTCGTTTGCTCGTTATACAGTTGATGAACTCTGGTGTAAAATGAAACCAACCGTGGCCTGGTGTTTAGACCACCGCAATCTGGCGGTCTGAAGTCCAAAATAGTGTTAATGTTCGAAAATAGTCTTCAAACGAAAGCGAAATAAGTTACCTAACCATAGTAGTCGCTTCTTTTAAAAGTGATTACTGTCATCTTAACTCTCTTTGAACATGTATAATGTCAGTGATAATCGCATCGTAGAATCTGACATCATATTGTCCCTACTTGACTTCACATTACTGTTGACGATATTTCCCAACAACTACACAGTAGATTAGTTTACTTAAGTTACACCTTAAGAATGTTTAACTTCACAAGGATTAACCTACCACCTGAAAGTCATCCAGTTGACCTGAAATATGCAGACGAAATTGTCCCGCTGGGTGAAGACGGTGACAAAATCTAGGGTTTTTTGATAGCCCTGAGCTAAAATCTGAGTATATTCTGTCCTGCTATAGGGCTGTAAGACATGTCCATTAAAAGTTGAAAATGTGAATCGTCTACGGTTATTTTATCGCAGATGTCTTGATAGCATTGTTCGCGTTTAGTGTAATCACTATGTGACCAATGCTGAGATCACATGAAGGCTACTAGGCAAGAAAGGCAAGTCGATTGATGTGGTTTTGAACCTTCATCGACTGTGATGGTTTAAAAATATATCGCGCATACCAAGTCATCGCCTACCTTGATGTACCATGCTAAAGGAAGCCGAATTAGATTTGAAGAGGGTTCAAAGTCGCCAGACAAAGACGTCACACCCCTATATAAAGTCTCCAATTGTTTTTCTGAGTCGTGTGGGGAGATGTAGACTATGTGTTCGAGGTCACCGAGACGATAGAAATTAGTGGTTGAGGACTGTTGGTGATATGGCTGTAAAGTGGTTAGAATGTTGCAGATGTATTCATTCCTTGAATATTCACACTAACCATTAGCATCAGACTGTGTATTGTCTCACACTACTTTGATATTATGCTTGTTCTATCCATGTGTTCTTTGTATACTACTATGAAGTGTGTCAACTTGAGCAGATGGATCTGTCTGCGAGGTTTTGTCACTCACTGTCAATCAGAGTTACCAGATACTTTGGCATAATTTAATTAAGGACAAGTAGTCGAACATGATGGCCATACTAAAGTGAATTTATAAATTCCACTTATCTGGTTACATGAATATGACATGTCCTTAACAGGAGAAATAATCGCATTTCGGTGAACTAAGACCGTCTCATCTTTATGGCTATGACCTTGAGGTATGACCTTGGCTCCAACTTCATTGGGAACATAACACTTTATTCTAATACACTATTCATAGCACTCAGTGCATAACCCTTTGTCCTGCATAGAATAGCAGCCAAAAGAAAAGATCAACACGCAAGTTGTTCAGTAGTGGTAAAAATCAGTCATCTTTTCTTACAATCATAAGATTATTATTTTCTTCAAACTGATATTATATACCAGTGAAAGAGAAAAAACCCTTAGTTAAATATTTGTTTTAATACCTGGATTTTATCTATCTTATTATGCACTGATCTCATAAGATAAATATCATTCTTTGCTCCTTCTCCTATTTTCTTTCTCTTCTTTTTTTTCTCTCTTCTAATTACAGCATTTGTTACTGCCTTATCAATGCTAATCTATCACATCACTATCAGACTGCATTTACGAACAGACGGTCCAGTTAATTTCGGTGAAGCATATGGTATTTCATGGTTTGCGTGTTTTTTACACTTATTGGCAGCTATCCTCTTATTATTAGATGAAATTATTAATGAATTAGTTAATTTAGCCACTAGAGTTCACTGTGTACGTACTTGTTTAAAGTGTATTATACACACATACAGTAGAACTGTTCAAAAGAGACGCCAATTGCTGGCTTATTATAATTCAAAATTTTCCAGTAGTAAGTAAGTAAGTTTTATCACATTGCCTATATGCATGTGTTTATACAGAAATGCAGTAACCATTAGAAATTTTATCAATATATACTTTGAAGATTTTATTCTTATCCTTATGATTGCCTTTCCTGAATACTTGATAGATATATGTATATATATGTGTATTCCAAAACACTAGTCTTTTCAAATGCTCATTTCTTAAATTCGCATAAAAATGATTCCAGAGGTGAATAACACTAATTGTTTAAAATAAGAAAACTACGTAAACACGGACATACACACACATATGAAAATGTACATCCGTTAGATGAATTTTGTGTGACGCTATCCAGGACCATTCATGCATTGCAAGAAAGCAAAAGATAATAGCAGTAATAATAATATTTTCAGTGTACTTCATGATATGCACTAATTTATCCAACCTAATTATTTTATTATGTTTCAGTTACTTAATTTTATATCAGTAGTTCAACGTTTACTTCAAAAATGTTTGTGCGTACTGAATTTTAAATTTCCATTTTACAACGATTATTCATGGTAAAATTGACCAGAATATTTTGCTCTTTCTTGTATTTTCCCCACCTCTCCTTCAGTAAAAGTGGTAAATTTTTCTTCTGAATCTCAAAAATATCTCTTTTCGTTACTAGGTTTTCAAAGACGATAACTACGCAGAGATGGATTGACGTTTGTAGTTAATCAGTTAATTATCTTTTATTTTGAATTTTTCTCATGTTCTTTTTCACTTTTTTGGATCATCTTTATCTTAATTTTACGAATCTTATTTCAAAAAGTATAATTATCATTGTGAATATCTAAATAAATTTGTTAGTTCAAGTGAATTCTATCAAAACGAATTAGTTATCTACTCATTTGACTGCTTAGTGGTTTTATCAAGTCAAGTGAGCATTAGTTGATATTCTGCCAAAAGTCGAATATGGTTTCCGAGATATCCAATTACAACAACAGAATTCAGTGGATTATATGATACCGTGGGTATTTTATTCAGAACTTAATGGGTTCTTCACAACTAAGGTGGATAAGAAAAGACCAAGAACTGCAATGGAAGCAGGAGAAAACGGATTCATTTTATCTCAACGGTATTTTGATAGCTGCATCCACCCTAGAATATCTAAGCAAATCATTTCATTAGTACACTTTACTTCACTGGAATAAAAAGGAATATCGGTGAGTAAGTAGATAAGACGGATAAAAATATTCACAGTAGTTATAGGGTCAAATCATAATGGCAAAATGAAAGGGGGGCACATAAGTGGTAACAAATTGTCACGCTTGCATGGCATATTGAAAAAGAAGTTAAAGTTAACTTTTATCCATCTTGACAGCCTTTTCTTAACTGTTATTTGAAAACATCACCTTTAAAGCTATTAAATTTGTTCATATAGACTGTTTTGAAATAACTCAGCTTAGTAATTAGCATGTTTTCCTGCATATTGAATGACCTACCTAAGTAGTGATTCAGTATTTTGGTTACTACTCTTGTTGTCTCTTTATTTATAGAAAACTCAACTGCATTAGGCATATAATTGTTACATTTCATCTTCCTTGAGTTTGCCACTACGCCACTAATTTCTAACCGCCAATCCATTTTATCCTAGTGAATTTAAATATGGAAACCAATCAATTCGGTCCAATCAACGAAGAGATAATACACGCATAAGAAATGCCCAAAGAAATCACTGCAAAGTAGAATCAGGCCTACTTAGCCAAGAATATGGTGGAGGTACGTTGACAACACCATCGCTATAACCAAAAATCAAGGTCTAAAAAATCTTTTCGAATGTCTTAAAAGCCGTTCCAATTCTATAAAATTCACATATGAGCTAAAAATAGAATTCAGAATGCTAGCTTTCCCAGACTGTAAAGCGATATGAAACAATAATGGGACACTTGACATTGATATCTATTGAAAAGAGACACATTCTAACAAGTACCTTGACTTCGATTCGTCTTATCTATTCGAAACTAAGTTAAATGTGGCCAAAAATCTGTTGACGAGACCACAAAGGATACCAAATAAAGTGGAATCTCAGAAAGCAGATAGGTGACTTATTCAGGAAATCTTAAAACTACCCGGAAAAGCTATTAAAAGGGATAGAAAAAAGGTTATCGAATAAAGATGCAAAAAAGCCAAGCCATAAAGATTAGATAAGTACTATAGTACTTCCCAATCGAACATCCACTTCAGAGGATATAAGACGTATCCTTAATAGTTACAATATCAGAGTATTCTTTAAGGTGACGAGTACACTCACACCTGTGTAAATTAAAAGATCCGATTCTTCATTTTGAACAGTAGAACTATGTTTATAAGGTAGACTGTAGTGAATGCAATGCCACATACATAGGAGAGATATCACGTCGAGTACTAATACATCTACCCGAACACGGTCGAAGTTGCAAGAAACCACCAAAAAAAATTCCTATGATCTAGAAAAGCTTGAAAAAAGCCTTACCATCGCGGCTCATACCTTATATTCAGGTCATAAAATATAATTCGAAAAGATAAATGTCCTGTAAAAGGAGTTTCTTTTTGACAAAAAGTGAACCATTGTAGAATTTTTGCATATCTATTCGTACCCTTCTTTGGTCAACAGAAAAGATGAGTTAAACATCCCACAAATATGGCAAACATTAATGACTTGCATAGACAGTCGTAAGTAATATATGAAGAGAAGGTAGAACACAATTTCATTTCACATGATTTATTCCGAATTCACTTGAATAGTTCCTGGTGTCATTTAGCTTAATCGTCTTAACCACGTCAAGAAATATTGGTTGTATTTTAACCACTTATCTATTCCTATTACATAGTAGTTTATTGGTCTGATATTCTCATCAATCTTACACTCCTTACAACTCAGAATATCCAGAAAAGATTAAGATAAGCAAAGGTTCACGGAGCAATATAATAGGTTGAATTTAGGGGTTAGTGGGGATTTAGAAATCTCTTTCTCAAGTTGTCATTCATCGTCGACTGACATAGGTCGGAAGAACATTGGTAACCTGCGAGCACTGAACAGCTATTTCGTCCTAGTATGGGACTCTTCAGCAGTGGGGACTCACGACTGTGCCGGATATCGAACCCAGGACCTTCGTGTTCTGTGGCCAACACGTCACCACTGAGCCACTCGGACGAAACCCGATGGTCCATATTTCCACACCATAGCGCGACCGCCACCAATTTCATCATTGAGTATTTATCCTCACGGCCACCTGGTTTGACCACTATAAATACCAACCTGGAAAAAAATATCTCGCAAGTGTGAAGCAGACTTAACATAAAATACAAGATGGCATTCGTCATGGACTGACATTCGGAGAACCAATGAAAACCTTAGGGTACTGGATTCCTCAGTAGTGCGCACTCAAGACCTTCAGGTCCCACGGTCAGTACGTCACTATTGAGCCCTCGGTTCAAAATCCAACCGTCCATATTTTCTTACATTTGAGAAGTGACAAAGAAAGCGAATACGCTGAAAGACTAAAGAAAATATACGATAATGAATATTCACAAGCAATCGATTGGGTAGACCAACACGATGAAATAGGATGCTACTTATCAATAGTAAGTAGTATGAAATTGAAAGCACAAAAGGTCTTAGGATACTCTCAAGCGAAGGAAATAATGCGAAATACTAACAAATTTAACAATTTTAGAGAATTGAATACTTGGAACTTCATTAATCTTTATGACTACTAGTAGAATACAGTTCTCTCTGTGCCCAAGTGGCCTAGTGGGCTACGCTTTGGCGTTTGAAACGGTAGGTACTGCTTTCGAGGCTTAGTAGGAATAACATCACTCATTTCGGTACAGGCACATCCAGCTGACAACCCCCAGGTAGGATGAAATCCGCATCCTGATTTCCACTGCTACTCACCAAGATGAGTACAACACAATGAATATTTAAGCAGTTATGAGACACTCGTATAGGAGCCGATCTGCTAATAGAGGTTGGATAATTGAACCCTGTATGGCAACAAATGATGAATTATCTTTTCCCTGCATGGAAGTATGTACCTTGAAAATGGGATAAACTGACTGTCCTTAGGACTGACTTAACTAATTGAAGAAGGACACCGGCTGACTAAAGAATAGTTGTTTTTTAGTTACCACTAAGCATATGCAACGAAAATGACTGATATAACTTGCTCCAAGTATCTGAGGTATCCAACTGGTTGTAGAACACACGGAATAAAAATTATTCAAACTATGAGACCAAGAAATTACAATTATGTGACTACCATGATGTGAAACTGGAATGTGGATTCTGTTCCCGATCGTAGCCAATTAATGTTACTTCATAAGTCACCAAGATCAACTTTGAGATGAATGTGAACTTCCACCTAAAAAGGTAGTTTAGCTGTGTGTTACACATGTCTACTTAAAGTCTAACCCAATGCATTACGTTGGCAAAAGTGGGATTACGCTGAATCAAAGCTAACAGTAGCCAGACTAAAACCCTGAAGGACGAGTGTACTGCACCGTAGTCGCACTATGTCCCATTATTTAGGTGTCGAACTCAATCATTGAAGTAGAAAACAAAAACATTTCACATTTTGGGACACAGATGTCTTCGTAGTATGGTTAACGGTATGGTTAGACGGACAGTCCTAGGTACGGAAAGCAGTTCAGTTGGTGAGACGGTGGACTTTCAATGTGCAATGTTAGCCAAAGTAGATGTGAGTTTGAAGAAGACTTAAGATGCAGCACCAGCTCATGAATTCTCAGATAAGTTCATGGTATCACCTAATATTTCCTCATTATTTATCAACATATCAGTGGATGAAACGATCTACTACCGTTGCCGAAAACAGAACTCAAACAATTATTGCTCCTCTGTACAAAAGGCGTTCAGCTACAGTATATTAACTAACTATACTGGCAAAATGATGGAGTGTCTAAGGTATCATTGCTAAGACTCTTCCTAGCTGATATATTTTCGCCTCATCTCGAAAGAACACGTCTGAACTCGGCGATGAAGGAAGCAACGTATTACTGCAGATATGTTGATGATACTTTCACTGTTCGTGATGATATGGATCAGGCATCAAAGCTGCCTGATCAAGCTCATACAAATATGAAGTTTACAATGGAATACGAAAATTAGGATAGATTCGAATTTTCAAATCTGAGTATAAAACGGAGATGTGGTGGTACAGTTGAGCACACTAACCACATGAAAGACTTGTGAGCTAACTTTGTTTGGTAAATATTTCATGACTAAGTTCATTATTAAACTCAAATATACTTCATAAACAATTTTCTTTGGTGGGATTTGGAGCCATCGACGTTCGCTGATTGCTTAGGGACTTTACACAGTAAATTATTCAATAAACTATGAATCACTTTTAAATCAAACATCTCGTTCACAGAACCAGCTTTTTTCAATAGTCAGAATGTATTTTGCAAAATATTAGTTAAAACAAACAAATGAACAAAAAGTTTGCTTAGGGGGAAGAGACTAATTACTTTTAAATTTTGAGGGGGTTGTGGAGATTTGGAAATGTTTCAAGTTGTTATTCATCGAAGACTGACATCAGACTGTCCAGTGCTCCCAGGTTTCCTTTGTTCCTCCAACTGATGTCAGTCTTCGATGAATAACAACTTAATTACTTTTACTTATAATAAGTTCACCACTGACTGATGTCACTTGGAGAGCCATTGAAGACTTGGAAGCACTGAACGGCTGTTTTGTCCTAGCATGCGACTCTTCACCACCCCACCAAGGATCGAACTCAGGACCCTCAGGTGCTTGCGGCGAACCCGTTAACCATTCAGCTGCTGGCTTGAAGCTTATTGGTCTGTAGTTTCCTATTTCTGTCGG